GGTTAATCGTATCCTCAAATTATTTAAATCAGGGTGCGTGTGAAAATGATGCGCAATTATGCTTTATCATTAAATGTAAAGTAATGATAATTTGATTTTAAGTATTTTATGACCACTTAGGACTTTTTCAAATTCAGGTGAGTTATTACTCTATTTTCTAATGATTGGCCTCTGGTAATTTAAAAAGCTTTAGTTTACAACGCTTATTTGTAAACCAAAGTTATAAGGATACTCATATCTTATTAGTTATCTTTTAATTATTAGATTATTGGTTAATTGGATTTTTATCAACAACAGATCAGAAATACCCTTAAACTTAAGTTATTTGAATAAACATCCCAAAATGAACCCAAATCACTAGGTACAATATTTTATTTAATGGTTGTTGTAGGTAGTTAGTTTATTTGCCTTTGTCTTTGCTGATGGTTCTTCCTTCCTTTCAACTCATGCTTATTTTTAGCGAAAACATGCTCCACTTCCTTTTGCATCCAGCTTATCTTCCTAATTAAAACATAATTTATGTTAACGAGTTATTTTTTAGATAATTAACAAAAATCATCTAAAATTTACAGTGATTTAAATCGCATTAAAGACAAAGTAACCATTTAACTAGGGAGTTATAAAAGGGGAGAATATATGGTTCTTTAGTTTATAAATTTTATATAATGGTGATTCTCTTTGAAGGAACATTTATTTTTTTTTCATTCTCCGAGAAAAATATTGAGCTAAAAATTTCCAAGTAGTACTTTTATTTTAATTTAAAAGTTTTTCAATTAAACCAAATTTCCTGTAGCTTGGCGGTATTTTAGGGTACTACAATTTACATAGTTACAATTTTTACATAATAAGATGCTCTTTAAAACAACTTATACAACGTATATTTTGACCTGTCATATTTTTATTTTTTAAATATTTTTTTTGCATTTTACAGCAAAACAGATACATTTACAGGTAAAAAGTTTTAAAAAATTATAGAAAATTTAATTTCCTGTATAGCAATTAATACATTTTACTGTCAAATATCGATAAAACTAGTTGACTTTAGTTGACTGTAAAATTTATTAAATGCCTTTTCATTTTATTGCATAAAGTCAGAGTATATTTTGTAAAAATTTAAATGTTCTATAAAAGTATTTTATACTTTTAACCTGTGACCTTAACCGTTTTTCCGTAAAACAACATTATTTTATCAATATTTAACAGTCATATTTATTAAAAGCTCCATATCTTTTAAACTATGCATTTTTTGCATTATTATAAAGGAACTTTTATAGAAAATTGAATTTTAGATACTTTTTACCTGTAACTTTAACCGTTTTGGAGGCGTCCACAAATTCCGTGACGCTGTGGGGAGGTTTTTTATAACGTCACGTGACAAAGTAAATGAAATGAGATTGCTTATTTGTTTTATTTTTAGTTAGATTGTAACAAAAAAGAATTTTACGTGGTAGGGAAGTTCAATAATTCGTCACATGTCCTTTCGGGTCCATTCTAGGGTCACAAGATTTATGGACTTCAAAATTCAAAATTAAATTTGCGAACAGTTTTCTGAAATTGTCTCAATATATGTAATTGAACTATGAACAATAATGTTTTCATATTTAAATTTAATAAAGTCTTTATGATAAATCACAAATTTCAACAAAACCTTGTAATGTACATAAATTACTACTAATGGAATCAAGCTGCCATAAAAATTTCTTAAATACGTTAGTGTTATTAATAAATGCTATGTTTTATTTCTATAATAATTTATTTACCTATAATATATTATAATAAAGAAGATTTATTCTGCTCTTTGTTTAAAATTTATTCTTGTTTTTTATCCTTATGGTTATTTTTGATGTACTATCAGCATAACAAGTTGCACTTCCTCTCATATCCTTAGTATCTTTTTAATTAAAATATACCTACATAATTAAGTATTTGAAAGTGACTTATACAGTTAACCTAGCTTAAACTAGCTTAGAGATCTCGAGAACCTACCTTTTACTAACTAGCATTGTGTAAGTACATTTATTTATTTTAGATGTGTTAAAACATAGTGAACAACTTAGATTCTGCAACAAACTGTGATAAAAAATATTTACATGTATTTTAAATATCTTATTGGGTATTAATAACTTTATTTGAGAGAACTACATTTAAAATATATAATTTAAAAATTGAATACTTTTGTTGTGGCGTACCAAGTACAGTTACAATATTAAAGCGTTGACTTTTAGATGAAAATAAAAACACTTCCGCTGTAAACGAACTAAAAACCATCACAATTGAAAACGTCTCAGAGTTATAAAACATCTATTGAATTTACTTCTTGCTTTAAACGTACAGCAAATAACGTTTGTATTTAATCCAAAAAATTTATTTTCAATTCTAGAAATTTAAAATAATATTTAGTTAGGTTCAAACAATTTTGTTATATGCCGGATTTTAAAAGTTAGAGCAAATTAACACTATTAAATGTTGCATATCTTTTTTTACTGATATACTAAATATTACCGTCACGCATGATACATGATGAATTTAAATGATTTTGGAAAAAAAAACTAAACTAAAGATTTCTGTAAGTCGTATTACTTTTATTTAAATAAATGTCCTGACTGATTAATCAATGCTCAACCTAAAAGGCTAAAATGTTGACAGTGCATCCCTTTAAAGACATATATAAAAGCTTTTTAAAATTTCATCCTTAACAGGGGTTAATTGGGACACTCCAGAATTTGCTTAATATTAATTTAATTATTAATTATTATTAATCCCGACGCATTCGCCATTTTTGAAAGTAATTAACGGCTGAGCGGATTTTGATGATATTTTTTTATTTGGCATGAACGTGTAAGATGGAAATGGGAAGGGAACGGGACAAACAAAGAAACATTCGTTTTCATATTTAATCTCCTATTTATCCAGCACACAGCAGTCTTAAATGTAAAAAATACATTACATTGATAATATAATTTTTCAAAATAAAAATCCCAAAGGCATTAATATTTATTCGACGGCTTATAACAATTTTATGTGGGACATGAAGTCGCGATAAAATTAATTTGTCTGAAGATTAATGGCGTAGCTAAATATTTTTTTTTTCCGTTTGAATTATTTTTTGTGTTAGTCGTTTTAATGTTATTATGTGTCTATAAACTGCTTAAATAACTTTATAGCTATACTTGAAGTGTTATGCTATAGTTGATATACCATTTCCCAGTCTTTAGGTAGTTGTTTATTCCATACTTTGTTTTATATATCTAGTAGTATTGCAGTTCCTTTTTGTTCTAAATTCTTGCACATCTCTGTGGTTATTTAGTCGTATCCTGGTATTTTTCCATTTTTTAATGTTTTTATTACTTCTTTTAATTCTTCTATACTTAATTTTTCCATGTTCTACTATGTTATCTCATTAAAAGTTTTCTTCATTGCTTTTATTATTAACCATTCTATTGATAAAATAAACAACGTTGCTAAAAGTGAATCCCCTTGCCTTACACCTTTATTATATTGTCCTTCTTTCTTCTTCTTCTTCTTTTACTTTCAACTTTTTTCAATCTTCTTTTAAAGCTTTGCTGCAAATTTTATTTCCATTTTTTCATTTTATTCCATTTCTCCGGCATTTTTTCTTCGTTCCATATATTAATAATCAGTGTATGTAGGTGTTATTTTAGGTATTTTCTCCCATTTCATTAAATTTTCCACATATTTTATATGGTCCTGCCGCTTTTCTGCACCTTAGCTTACTGACCGCTTCTTTTACATTATCATAGGATGAGGTTTCTTCAATTTCGTCCATGTTTTGTTCGTTTGTCTCATCTATTTCTACCCTGTTCTCTTCCATATGATGGTCTTTAACTCGCATTTCCGAGAGTAATTTTTTGAAATGCTTCTCCCACTCCCACATTTCTATTGGTAAACTCTTTATATCATATACACATTTCTATTACCGTATTTCTTGAATTTTCAAAACAATACATGTTATGTTTTTATACTATAAATTTAATCGTTTAACTTGACTTTGACTATATTATTTAAATCGTTGCACATTGATTTATAGGCACTTGGGTTTACCAATGACTATAAATAAAAATAATTTTATGTTTTAACTGAAAAACTAAGTATTTCTTGTTACATCATTAAGGAAGTTATTTAATAAAACCACTGTTCCAAATTAAATTTTATGATGTTACACTCCGATTAATGTTTAATAACAACAGTTTAAAAAATATATGTTTTTATTATTAATTACGCTTTTTAAATGCGTTTTACCGTTGAAAAGGTGTTCCTATGATTCGGTTTACGGTTTTTCCAGCACAATAGATTTAATGAAAAGAAATTGTTTTAGGAGGAAAATAATGATACGTGGAAGATGAAATTTTTTATATAGGTAGCTAGGGATCACCAGCCAATGGGCAAGATGATATATATAGGACATGAATTGTAGGTTAAATAAAAACAATTTGTAGTGTCCTACCGAAGCATCGGCTATAGTCAAAAATGCCGCCAAACATTCGCCGAACATTTAACAGAATGCCTGTAAATCCCCAATTTTTTTAGTAGGAAGTAGGCTTTGACTAAACCTTCGGCTCAATTTTAGCCGAAGTCGAATGTTTGACTGGGTTACATTTTTTTATACATTTATTTAATAAAATAAAATAACCGAAGCAGCTTCGGCCGAAAAACATACCTTCAGTCAGACACTAACAATTTGTATTTACTTTAAAGTATAACCTATATTAAATAGGATTTTATATGATATTATACATAACTTATGATCAGAAATCCTTATAAGGATTTTTTTTAATGTGATAATCCTATTAATTAATCTCTAACATCTAGACTTATCTTATTAATATTATTTGTATTTATATGATTAGATTTGAAAATAAATTATTTGATTTAATTAATGCTGTATTTTAAATTAATAAATTAGGTACATAAGATATTTCTAAGAAAATATATAATTTTTCACCAAAATCCACATTATCACCACCACCTTCGTTTTCAGTTTATTTGATGTTTGCAGTATAACACTTATTTTTTGCCTCTGCTATTAGATCATATGAGGGATAAATATCTTTTGCTCCAAGTCGCATCGTGGTGTAATCTTCCTTTGTTAACCCAAGATCCACCATAAGACCTAAAGCTTCTTCAGGGTTGTACGGTATTACAGTCGCAGAAGGTGCATCATTTACCACCTTCATTTTTTTTAGTCCTTTGGGCGAAGATTTAATTGCCAATTTCATAACTTGAGCTGCAGTTCTCTTTCCTGATTTTATCAAGCATGTTTCTGCAGCTAAGCACAGTTCTTCTGAACTAAAATTCGATACCATTGGTTGCACTTGCCTTTGTTTAGTGAGCTGAGTACTCTCCTCAAATATTTTTTTTCTTGGTCTACCTTGTGGTATGGCTGCATTTCTGGGAATTTAACGTCTTTATTAAGCATTTTATGTGTTTGTTGATAAAACGGTTATACATGTAATTACACTTTATATTAATTTATATTAAAACTAAATAATAAATACTTGCATAGGTATATTATAATAATTAATTAAAAGTTATTTTTTTCCAAAATTATTATTAGGTAAAATTTGTTAAGGTATAATAATAATTAATACGAACTAATTTTATTATTTTATGAATTAATCTTTATTATAGTTATACGGTTATAATATATTATGTAATTTATAAAGAATTAAGACTTTCAACCTTTAATAAACTGTGCTGGTACATCCAGTAATAGATTTTCTCATGATCTTCATTTCTTTTCCAACGAAGTCACTACGACTCCCTTAAAATAATATACTCTATAAACCAAAGCGGGAAACATGGGGACTAGTAATTTAATTTTTTAAATTAGTGTACTCTTGGGAACTTTTTTTATAACTCTAAGCTAAAGTAAATATTTTAATTTTTTTTTAATCAAAAATACTATTTTATATAATTTATATTTTAATTGTTTTACGTACAACTGGTTTGTTAACAATTATTGCATATTAAAGTACAAACCTGGTGCTTTATAATCCATGTTAAAAGTTTGTGATTTTACATTTGGAACCGTAGGACGAGCATAGTTAATCTCAGAAACATAAAATACATAGTGGCCGTGCCAAAGATAAGCCAACTTTGCGATGATGCTAGAGCTTTTGTGTTGCGTTAAAAACAAATTATTATGTTTTATTGTAGCCTGGTCCATTGCCAACCTTTTGATGATACTTGTGACCAGTTTGGAGAAATTTTATTTTTTCTTTTTTTGGCGCGATAATTTAGATATTCTGCCTTATGTGCGGCGGCGAATGCCGAAAATTGGCAAAGGAGAACCGATACAAGTACCTTCAAATGAAATTCATTATATGGATCGACCTTGCAATCGAATTCTGAAACTTTATTTACTCCGACCTTTAAAACGCCCATTATCGTACATGTTTCTATGACACTAAGTGACCTTTTAAATAGACATTGACAAGTTTTGGCTTTATGGCGTTTTAGTCCCGGGCTGAAGTTAACAACAGGTTTTTAGTCACGTCTGTTAGTTTTAAGTTAGTTGACAGTTGTCAAATGTCATACAATCGTTAAAATAAAATGCCTTTGTTGTAAAATAATACTAAGTGTGAAAATTATTTTATTATTCCAATACAAAAAGACAAAAGCATTAAATTCTCAACGCCAATATTTGATTCCGCCGGCAGTAAACTAGATTTTACTTAAAAAGCATTAAAAATTTCGGGGGGGGACTCCACCGTGGAGTGCCCATAAAACATTATCTTTACTTTACTTACTTACTTTCACTGTGAAAAACTACTTTTATATCGAATTTAACAGGTGGTTAGTTTATTTTCAAGGGATACATTTCAATTTACACATAAAAATTTGACATTTTCACCGACGAGCCGGTAAAACAGATACCAAATAACACTAACTTGAAGTTAGAATGGTTACTCTATTGTTTTATAGATGTCGCTCTATACAAATATTTACTTTAAATTATTTTTAGATAACAATAAGTATTTGTCATAAAAAAAGTATAGTATGCAACTTGTTTATAAACTTCGTTACTAAAGTTTATCTATTTGCGTTCATAATGAGTTCATTATAACACCGCTTTCGGTGCTGCAATGAGATACTTTTTGATTTTATAGGTTGGCTATACTTTAAACAGCATAATATTTTGCATATTGGTTATAATATTTTTATGATTTTTCTAGTACTTACGAGACTTTTCTGGCAATAAATTTTGTTTAACACCAAAGAAAATCCTTTTTTTTTTCTTTAACCGCTTATTGTAAATAAGTAAATTAAGTTGTATAATCTGTGGGGAGTCATGGCGAATCGGTTTTGACATTTGTCAACTGTGATACCAACTATCTAAAGTAAAATTCGACCAAATTAAATTTAAGGTATAAAATTAATTTTTTTATACAATTTTTGCAAAATAGATAAAATAGCATAAAGAACTCATGTCATAAGACCTGTTGTCGCACTCGTCCATTACAAATAAATTGACGGCGTGCGACAAAATGACGTCTTATGACATTAGTTCTTTAATATACTATTATCAAACTTGATACATTTACTATTAATTTGATTATCTAAACAAATTAAAGAACGTGTAATTATTTTTTACAATTCTTACTAGTCACAAAACATTTTAAGTTCAAATTTAATACTTATTTATTAGATACAATTAATATATTTAATTAAAACGGTTAATCCAATTTCGAGGTTGCCATATGGCTGGCAAAAACAAAATTAATCATGTGAAATAACATGTTTTATATAGCAGAATTTTCCATAAAATTAATAAATCATAATCAATAGTCTTTTAGTATGAAATAATACAGAAATCCATTTATTATAAGACATACACCAAATAAGATATGGGGCATTCCATGAAAAATCGACTACTTTTAAACCCGATCTCTCTGATGTAAATAAACGTAGAAAAGTACATTTTTAAATTTATTGGTAGCTGTCAACCTTTGGGTTGAATAAGATTTTTATTAAAATTAATTTAAAAAAATAATAATAAGATAAACAATACATTATATATCAGGCGGAGGAAGCGCTTATTTAAAGCCGAGCTCAGTGTTCGGCGAACACTGTTCGCTGCCGAGGCTGCAGATCTGAGCGAGGCAGTTGATGTGCTTTTTCCGCCGTGTAGTATTTTTTTAGCATTCAATAATTTTGTACTTGCATTGAAATGATTGAGTTTGCGACATTTTGTCAGGTTTAACGTTTGATATACGTTATGTTCATAAATTTATTATACAGTGACCTGTAATTACTTAAGTTTACATTTTCTTTGCTGATTTCGAGCTTAACGCGATAGACGGAAACATTCTTGCTGTAATTTCAATGTATTTTCATTATTGTACGGCGGTGTATAATAATTTGACTTTTGAACTGCGTACAAATACGTCTTATACATATGTATATACAGGTTTATGAGGGTTAAAATATGAAAATTGTTATACGCAAAAAAATACTTTTATATACATCGCCTTCTATAAAAAAGAAAAAACATACATTAACAATAAACAAAATCAAATCAAAAGAATAAAAATAAAATAAAAAATGCCAATAAAAGTCCTGTCAAAATCGATTCTGCCGGACAAACATTTTAACCCTTCAATTTTATTTATATGTATAGATTTCTATAACTTTGGGAAAAGTTACTTAAAATTAAGCCCTGGGGGCCTGTTGGATACAAATAAAAAATAAATAAATATACAAAAATATTATACGGACTGTATAATTACTTTAGTATTAGAATTAGAATCATTTGATCAACTTTTATTGTTCTGTGGGTATTGATTGTTAAAAGTAATAAATCCTAATATTATTGATTGATATTTTATTTTATGGTAACGTGTCAATTAAGTTGACAATTCATTACCTTTTTAATTTAGAATGTCTACATTACAATATTAATTTTATGTTTTATTAATAAATACCTGTGTAGTATTCAGTGAAGTTCGAACGCTGTAAGTTTGATACCGCAACGTCATCGGCCATGCATTGACCACCGTTGTCGAGCGATGACGTTGCGGTATCAAACTTAAAACGTTCAAACTAAAAGTTTGGGTTATGATTACCAAAACTATTGTCCTAATTTACTGAATTTTTTAATCATTCCCAAAACACTTCTCTCCGTGTAGGTACTTTTCTGTAATTAATTTAAGAAAATTAAGCGGAAAAAACTTAATTTCACAAGCGCGGAAACGCACGAATCACAAAACTGTTTTTATAAAACAAATTATAGGTTATTTATTATATAATATTTTGGTATCAAAATTGTCAGAAATATCCTTGTTTTATAAATAAAAAAAGCGCAAGAAATATTTTATAAAAGTAGGTAGAAATAATTTTAAGAATGGGCAGTTGAGGACTGGACAAACAAAAGATTTTTCTTGTCCCGTCCATAACTGTCCATTATTGAAATTATCCCAACATACAAAATATTTCTTGCGTTTTTTTTATTAAATGTAGGCTAATAAAAGAAGAATATTTTCGACAACTTTGATGGATAAATAATATATAGGTAATTATTTACCTACAATTTAAAAAAAATAGTTTTGTGATTTGTCACGCCCGCATGCTTGAAATGGCCCAATAATTCTTCCATTTTTTGCAATTTAACTTGTAATAAAATAAAAAGTAGAAAGAAAAGAAAAAGGCCCAAAGAAGAAGAATGAATTAAAAGTTGTTTTTTCCGATAAATGCATTGTTAATTTTTTTTTGTTTTTTTTTAATCGCATAATTTGAATTGATCGGACATATCCTTCTTTTACCATAAACAATGAAAGCATAGGTACTGTTTGTCCACTCTAAGTTGACTGAACTAAGGAATTTTGTTGTTTAGATATTAAAGAATTGTCGTACTGTGTGCTTTTAAAACAGATTTTATATTATAAATAATACTAGTATATAATATGTACTAGTACTATTTATAATATAAAATCTGTTTTAAAAGCACACATTACGACAATTCTTTAATATCTAAACTACAAAATTCCTTAGTTCCGCCAACTTAGAGTGGACAGACAGTATACTTTTGTAATTATAAAAAACATTCGGAGGATACATTATTTTAAAAATAATTATAAAAAAACTCAAAATCAAAACACATTGTCTCATTTAGTCGAGTTTTCATTCAAACAGGCCATTACAAGTGCCAAAGGTCTCGCTATTATTTTGATCGATTTCATGATTTCCTCTTTCGACCTGAAGAGCAATTGAATGCAATCCTTCCACATTGTTTTACGTAACTATCTGGTTCCCTACCCTTTTAGAGGCAAAGCGATGGTCGTCGGTTTCAACTTGAACATTCCAG